TCTAATATGCACAGCCCAACCCATGTCACCCCCTACTTCTCTCCCTTTCATGGGTTCTTTCCAGGCACACAACTTCCTGGCAGCTGCTAGTCCCTGCCAGGCATTCTTCTGCCACACAGCTGTGTACCTGCTGTTGTCCTGGCCTGGAATGAACCTCCTCAGAGCTCTATGGAACACCCTGCTTCATTCATTCATATGCGTTCCTTGCCATTTTCTTTCGTGGTATGTATGTATTTGACAGACAGAGAGGAAAAGAGAATGAGAGGGAGAGAAATTTCCATTCCCTGCTTCACTCAGCAAATGGCTGCAATGGCCAGGGCTGAGCCAAGCTGAGGACAGAAGCCAAAAACTCAATCCAGGTATCCCATGTGGGTGGCAGGAACCAAATCCATTTAGCCATCACTTGTTGCATACCAGGACATGCACCGATGGGAAGCCTGAGTCAGGAAGCTGTGCTGGGAATTGCACTCAGCTACTCCATTGTGGGAGATGGGTACTTTTAACTGCTAGGCCAAAAGCTGGCTCTCCAGTACTGCCTTCCTTGGGGTATTCCCTGACCTCTCAGTTTAGATGACAGTCTGGCTTCACTAATATTCCCTCTGCCCCTTCCCTAAGGTAGGCTCTCCAGAGTCCCTCATGTAAGATACCTATTTGTTCAAGACTGGTCTCCTCCCTCTAGAGAGAAAGATTTTGTTGCTTTCTTCTACTTGTGTTGCATCTCCAGTGCCTCACGCAGTGCTAGGTACACAGAGGGAACCTGGTTACTATTGGATGAATGAATACATGTAATAAATCCACTGATTTGTTTGCTGGCTGATTAAGATGGCACTGACTCTTGCTTTGTTCACTGTATCCTCAGAACTGGAACACTGTATAACACAGGAGTCCAATAAATAAGATAGGTAGGAAGGAAGGAATTAATTTTTCATAACTTCATGTATCTCTTTCCACACATTTTATTAGCATTTAAAGACCTTTATGTATTTATAAACCATATCAACTTAAACCTTAATGTGATCATGTCAACTTCTTTCCATAGTGTGTTACTGGATATATGCTACTTTTTTCCCCCCAGATATAATGTATCTTATCTCCTAAGACGCAAAAGAGAAAATATATACACTATCCCTGGTAACAGCCACTTACTAATACAGTGATATTTAAATGGAGGGGTGGAGAGAGGGTTATGGCAATGTTCCTCTTGTGTCAGAACTCCAGGAATGTAGATGAGTCGAGGGATTTGGGGTTGGAGAGGAGTAACTGTGTAGTTTGCAAACTTTCCCAAGATGATTCAGATATGTCCAACCTCTCCCTCTGGAGAAGCTCTGAAATGCAATTTATGTTTTCCTCTAATCTCCTTTGTCAAAGTGATTCATTATTCACTGTTCAAATGCCATAACTCACCGACTCTATCTTCATTGCTGGCATTTGGATTGCTCTAATTGTTTGCATTAAAGATAACAGCGATGCATCTTCATAATGGCTACCACTGTCCTACCTTACTCATGCATTAACTACTCAGTGACCTCACCTCTCAGTGGCCACTAGTGAGGGGCTCCTGGGCTCCAAGTTCCAGGGCATGCTCCAGGAATAACATGCTCATGCATGCAGCAGTGACTTTGATCTCACAAGAGGTCCCCTATATTTCCCGGTGTTTCTGTATGACAAAATACCAACGCAGAATCCAGAGATATCACTGGTTCTATTCTTCAGTCAACATGTACAATCTAGAGGGGTTGCTGGTTGTGCCTGCTGGAATTAAACAAATCTGATTGCTCAGTAGTTCTACTTTCTCCAGGCTGGAAGCTAGAGATCCTCTGAGAGGCAACTGGCCTCAGTGGTGAGTCTGACAGCCCCATGCATCAGGCCTCTAGAGAGCTGCATTCCACTTGCTGACCCCGGCCAGTTCACCTAGTCCTTTGTCGGATGCTTATGCCTTATAATCTTTCTAATTGAATTGGAGAAATAATAACTACTTAATTGGAATAATAACAACGACTATGATCTCACTCTCCTGTTAGGAGGAAGAATTAAGTGAATAATTAACAACTAGATAAGGGATTTAAACATGCAAGTAGTTAAGGAAAAGCAATGCCAAGTGATTATGGGGTACTCTTGAGATAACACACTAAGTAGGTGCTGAAGCTCATGAACAAGAGCAGGCCCCCCTGGAATCTCAGGAAGCTGCTGGAAAAGATAGAGCAGCCTTAAGGGTGACTGTGTAAGTGGGAAGACAGGGTTTTCCTTCCTGGTATTTTGAGAACCAAAATAGGGCAGATATTCATTGCCAAAAAAAAAACAGTACCTGGAGGATGGCATTTGGCTCGGTGGTTAAGATGGTGCTTGGGATGGCAGTATCATGTCCAAGTGCCTAGGTCTGAGTCTTGGCTCTGCTTCCAATCTCAGCTTCCTGTTAATATGTACCCTGGAAGTTGTAGTGATAGCTCAAGTAGCTGGGCTCCTGTCACCCAGATTCAGTTTTGAGCTCCTGGCTCTGGCCTAGCCCACCCCTGGCTATCAAAGTGAATGAACAGATGAAGGCTCTCTCTGTATCTGTATTTGCCTCTATGCCTTTAAAATAGAAGAAGAAGAAAAAAATATATATATATATAAAGAATGAGTACACAAAACAAAGGGTACTCATTTGCGTCTCTGAAGACATACTTACTGATAGTGCTGTTACAGAAACACTGTGCATATGTGTACAAAGATGCAAGTACAAGAATCTTATCTGTGACCTACACTTTAACATAATCAGAAACAGCTTCAATGCTTAATAGGAGAGTGGATAGCTAAATTAACTAGCTTCTGCATAAATAAACAGATTTTTCTTTTTTATGTAACCAAAGAGAGCTCTCTATGTTAAAAGAAAAAGTAAGTTGCCAGGCAACTTACCCTATTTTGTTTTTTAAAGGGTTATTCATTTTTTAGATATTCATTAATTATTGATTTAAAATACAGAGTGACAGAGAGAGACACTTATCCTATATCTTATTTTCTTCTGTGCAAATGGAGGCTTGCAGGTACAGGCTGGTAGAGAATCATTTTCACCTTTCACTCTGTCCCTTCATACACCTTGTAATATTTATGATAATTCTGTGAACGGAATGATCCTACACAATATAAGACTGACACTTTACTCTTCCCCGACACTGCTTCATTACTGACGCCTGATTTTTTCATGCCTGTTGGTAGTGTTGTTTTTTTTTTTTTTCCATTTCCATGAATAAGAGTGTTCATATTACATTCCTTCTAGGAAACTCTGGTGCTGTTCCTTTAGATTGCTCTGCATGAGTCCATACAGATGATATGCTCCTGGGAAAACCACTAAATGAACAGGTTTCAACCGGTAAGAGAAAAAATTTGAAGCCAAATTTCTAAGCCAAAATAAATAAATAAATAAATAAATAAAGCACAGCAAAAAAAAAAAAAAACTATTATGGGAATTGTCACTTTATTTGCTGAGCAAGGAGCAGCAATTCTCCACAGTCACCCTCAATACATGTATCAGAAAGAAAAAAAATCCTTAAATACAAATGAGAGGATATCTTATTCCTGCACTTTTTGATGTCACAGAGCAGACTGGAGGCTATTTGGGATACCCACAGCCCATATCAGGAGCCTGGACTCCAGTCCCGCCTCTACTTCCAAGGCCACCTTCCAGCTCATGCAGTGTCCCTGCCTGGCCCCGTGAGAACTGGATGGGGTTCTTGGCTCCCAGTGTCAGTCATGCTGTCGCAGGCAATTGAGAGTGAACAAGTGGATAGAAGATCTGTTTGTCTTTCTCTCTCTGTCAGTGTGCCTTTCAATTAAATAAACCATGTTTTTTTTTTAAAGATGTTTTAAAATTGAATGTGATTTTGCCAGGGAATCTTAGTTAAAAACAGAAAAAAGTCTCAAGAAAGAAAAACCATGAATCCTCTGCCTTTAGAACATGAAACAAACTACATTTTCATCAACACTGCAAAATTAAAATCATCTCAGAGTACAGAATCATTTCTCAGAGCACTCCTCCTTTATGGAAACAAGTCAGATTTTGAGAAATATATTGTCTTAGCTCATTTGATCGCATCTAGCTTTAGACTGGGAAAACAAACTTCAGCATGAAGTTTTTCATCAAGTTTGAGAGAGTGTGGAGAAGAGGCCAGCACATCAGATAGGGATTTTTGGATCAATTCAAGGTGTTTTGTATCTTAAGTCAGGTAGGAGAACAAGGGTGTTACAATATTTTATATTGTGACTTTTACCCTTCCCAAGAAGAGCTAGCGGGCTCTGAGAAATCACTGATTTAGTTAAATGTCTTCACTTCAGGTCATTTTTAAATGACTAGTTCATAAAAAGCTCAGAGAACAGTTAGGATTCCTTGTATTATTTTCAGTGGTTTCTCTGGATGCAAACAGAATCTGTGTCATTAAGATGATTCCTGAGCATTTTTGTTCATCTTTATTCAAATTAAGGCATAAAACTGTATAAAATTTCAATTATTTCCAAGGTTCTAGACAACATTATTCCTGAATGAAATGTAACAGCAAATGCTTGCCATATTTCAAACGATAAGAATCTGAAAAGGATGTTGAGTGAGAAACAGGTTTAATAGTAAAGTCTTTTGCTCCTATTGATCCAAGAGGTTTGAGGAATAAAGCAAAGGAAGATGAATCTATCCTTCTAGAACAAAACCCAGCTCTCCACGGCTGCAATGGCTGCCCAGCTCCCACACCAAGCCAGGAGAGAAGCTCTTTCACATACTACATTTTCAGCTTTTTCATTTTCAATACTTACCAAGAATTTTAATTGAAACATAACTATATATACTTATGACATTTCCAATACATGTATAGACTGTGTGGTGGTTACATCAGGGTAATTGGTATGCACATGTTAATGCTTTAAGAGGTCTTGTCTTTTATTATTCTCGACACTGATCACAAAAACGCTATTGAAAAGTCAACTGGCAAAAAGAAGTATGCTGGAGGATACCAGTTGCAGCGACAGCTACTTACCTCACCGCAAAGTACAGAATGGTGGGGCCTTGTTTCTTGGGTAAGTCATGATCCAGCACTCGGTGATCTAACTGGAGCCAGTTCTGCTGACCTCTGTGAGAGGATTAAAGAACAGGATTAAAGAGGAAGTCAGAGAAATTCAATAACACGGTGCTGGCAAAGCTGTGGGCTACCAGGTACTCTCAGATACTGATAACATGAGTACAACTTGGTGCTACAACTGCCCATTAAATCCATGCAGCCCTACTTTTAAAACTTCAAGAGCACCTGCCTCTTAAGCAGCATCTCCAATGACATAAATTTGTACACATAAAATGATCTCTACATAAAGCTACTCACTGGAGCATTATTCGTGATAGCAAAAGCACTAGAAATAACTTAAGGGCCCAATAGAGTATTTTAAAAAGATATTTAAAGCTGTACACTGAAATATAATACACCTGTGAGACAGCCTAGAAAGCCCCTTTACAAACCTAATTTGAACAATTCCCAAGACACAATATGAAAGGGAAAAGCAAGACACAGTATGGTAAGTACAGCATACTGCTGTTCTTTAAAAATAAAAAAGACACATACATGTACATACTAAAAGCACCCTTGAGATAAGAAATGGATAACATTTTATTAATCTTCAAATTCTTATTCATACGAAATGTTTTAGATAGTCAAGAACGCTGAGATCTTCTACTCTGTCTCTCTTCCTCTCTGTAAATCTGCTTTTCCAAGAAAAATAAATACATCTTAAGAAAAACGGTGGTGGGGAGGGAACTTTTGGCTTAGCAAAATCAAATGCACCAAAAACAGTATCACAGTTGGTTTTGAAAAAAGATTTATTTATTTATTTGAAAAGCACACACACACACACACACCACACACAAACAGATCTTAGATCCTCTGGTGGACTTCCTAAACGCCTACAACAACCAAGATTGGGCCAGGCAGAAGCCAGGAGCCAGGAACCCCATCCAGGTCTCTCACAGAGATGGCAAGACTCAGGTACCTGAGCCATCATCTATTGCTTCCCAGGTACAAGTGCAGAAGTCTGATTGGGGGTGGAGTAGCTGGGACTTAAGCGCTTCCAACATGGGAGCGTGGAGCCTCTGGTGGCAGCTTAGTCAGCCGGGCCACAATGCCTGCCCCACTGTTGTTTTATTTATTTACTTTTAAAGTACAGGATTGAATACTCTGGGTGCTATTTCTGGATATACCTCATGGACTAGTGCTAAGTATGTATTTGTTTATTTACTTTAGAACCTCAGCAAGTCCATGGGTATAAACAGCCCTGTCTAGCTTTCCACCTCTCGAGGATAAAAATGATTGATGACACTGGATAGTTTAATAGACTTTTCCAAGGTTGTTCAACTAGTGCTTCTGTTTTAGACTGTAAATTCCTAGAGGGCATGGACCTCATTTTACTTGCTCACAAAAGACTCAAGCACATGCCGATGTTAGTTTATTCAAGAACATTCTAAAATCCACAACGGACCAGTATTTTTCCAACATATTCTGGTCTTGAATAAACAATTTGAAAACAAAAATCAGGAAATTTTATGAGGCATTCATTTGATGTAAGTAGATGAAAATGTAACATTACTGTTAGTATTAACAATAAAATAATTGCTGTGTTTGGGCAACTACTCTCACCACCCAAGCCACTTTTTAAAAGGATTTATTATTATTATTATTATTATTATTATTATTATTAGAAAGGTAGATTTTACAGGGAGAAAAACAGAGACAGAGGGGAAGGTCTTCCATCCTCTAGTTCCACCCTCAGATGGTGGCAATGGCCAAAGCTGATCCCATCTGAAGCCAGGAACCAGGAGCTTCTCCAGGGTCTCCCATGTGGGTGTAGAGGCCTGAGGACTTACGCCATCCTATGCTGCTTTTCCAGGCCATAAGCAGGGAACTAGATGGTAAGTTGGACAACCAGGACGTGAAGCGGCACCCATATGGGATTCTGGCACTACATACAGAGGATTAGCCTACTACTATGCCATAGCATTGGCTCAAAAACCCAGGACATTTTTGAAGCAGAGAACAAAACTCCTATATTAAATCAGATTTCTCTTTTTAAAAACAATTCACTTAAAGACAGAATTACAGAAAGAAAAAGAGACAGATTCCATCTGCTGGTTCACTCCCCCAGACGGTTATTACAGCCAGGGCTGGGTCAGGCAGAGAAGTTAGGAGCTTCTTCCAAGTCTCTCTTGTGGGTGTGTAGGGCCCAAGCACTTGGGCCATCTTCTATTGCTTTCTTAGGCCATGATCATTGATTTGGAAGTGGAGCAGCTAGGACTGGAACAGGAACCCACAGGAATCCTAGCATGACAGGCAGCTTTATCCATTCCATCACAATGTCAACCAAGGTCAACTTTCATAATAACCTTTGCCTTGGTCTCTGTCACTTGCCAGTTGTAACGATGAGAAAAGCATATCCATAATTACAAGAAAGGCCTAATAATAACTCTCTCTAGCTTTCCGTGGAGGAATATTCTAAAGACAAATAAGCAGACATAAGAAACCCAAGGAAAGCATCAAAAAAGAGAAGAGAGACTGAAATTAAGAGCTTCATAAACTGTATTTCATAAAATTAGGATGTTATTGATTTACAGTCAGAATTCAATTTCAGAGGTGGTCAAATATGTGATTTAAAATACAAAACACTGTATGGTAACAGGTCTTAAAATTTTGCTTACAGAGAATGAGACCAATTTGGAATTGTCCTTCATATTTTAGGTAGGAAAGATTTGGCAACTTTTGCAAAGCATAATATGTATTTATATGAATTTGCATGAGCTAATGTCTACAATTGGCAAATGCAGCATAAAGCAATTATGTGAACCACAGGTGCACACTCAAACCACTTTTAAAAATGGATAGATATGGGCCCAGCGCGGTGGCGCAAGTGGTTAAAGGTCCTCGCCTTGCACGCCCGGGATCCCATATGGGCGACGGTTCTAATCTCGGCAGCCCCGCTTCCCTTCCAGCTCCCTGCCTGTGACCTGGGAAAGCAGTCAAGGACGGCCCAAGGCTTTGGGAACCTGCACCCGCGTGGGAGACCCGGAAGAGGCTCCTGGCTTCGGATTGGCATAGTATCGACCCGTTGCGCTCACTTGGGGAGTGAATCATCGGATGAAGATCTTCCTCTCTGTCTCTCCTCTCTGTATATCCGCCTTTCCAATAAAAAAATAATAAAAATAAATCTTAAAAAAGAATTAAGCTTACTGTGTATCCTAAATTCCAAAAAAAAAAAAAAATGGATAGATAGTTTTAGATGTAGTTCTAGAAAGATTTAAAAGAAATGATTAATATTGGTGGCCCCTATGGGAGAAACTACAATGGCACCTGATATTCATGAATATGCAAGATAAAATATTTTAAAAGTCTATATTAGAAATGAGAAAGTCTATGGGTAATCCGACAACAGGAAAAACCCGTAAGTTAAAAAAAATCCCCAATTTTTCACTGGACTCTGACCCACAATACCTAATGCTTACAACCTGCTTTTCTCAATGGATCTATTATAATGTTATCACAGCCTTAAAAGGATAGTCACCCTTCCTCATCAGGCCGGGCTGAGCAGGTATGGCAGAAGCTCCCTTTCCGGCTACAAGTTTATCAATGGAAGGCCTAAGACGCCAGGCCCATCCCAAAACACAGTGATCACAGGTCACACTGGTGTCGCAAAGCCTGTTTGTGTCTTCTCTGTAATCTAAGCTTACTCAGCAAAGCCCTTCAAACACGGGGATGACAAACAATGAAATGGGAGAAGGCATGGCTTACCGCGACGGTGAACCCCGGGGCCGCGGCCTCGGGGCGGGCCGTGGCTGCCCTCTAGGGGCCAGCGCGTCACCCTGCACCCAAACTCGAGCAGGCCTCTGAGGCCAAACGCTCTGACAGGGACGACGCGGGGCTTTCCATCGCCCGACATCGCCGTTCGGTGACCTCGCTGCGGCCTAGTTGTCCACGCCTGGGGCCGCGGACTAGCATATAGACTGCTTTTATTGATAAAATGGCTCCTTTGGCTTAGCCTTACTGCTGTCTGAAGACGTTCACCAAAGGCCCCAGGCTTGAAAATCCGACTCAGGGACTCAAGCCAGGAGGGGCTCGGGGCTTGGTGGTTTCACGGGACGGGGTGGGGAGGAGAGGGAGTGGCGACAGAAAAGCACTTTCCCCAAATAAGTCACCAGACAAAGAAAAGAACCGGGCTTGACACCAAGACATTCCAAGGAGACACCCTTTTAGACATAAGCAATTTTTCGGGCCCGCTCCCCAGAAAGGTGGATGTGGCCAATTCCTCCCTCCCCCGCCGCCTCCCTCCAACAAACCCAGCTCATACTTCTTCCGAAAATAAACACAGAGGGAGCCAGAAGACATCTTCCCACACCGGTCATAATTCAGAAATAGACCGTCCGCGGCAGGGGCGGTGTGGCGCGGAGGAGCCGTGGTTTCGGCGGGGAGGCTGTGACCTGTGACGGGGAAGACAGGCTGGGCAGGCCCTTCTCCTCATCCGGGAGCTCTGAGAGGAATCCCAGGGCGGAGGAGGAGGAGGAGGAGGACGACTACTCAGAAGGAGTTGCTGCCCGGCCCGGGGCGCCGTGCGGTGGACGCTCCGTCAAAGCTCCGTCATGCTACCAGCGTGCCCCGGAAACCCTCCCCTGCCCGGCCTCCCGTGCCCGGCCTCCCCGGAGCCTCTCCGCCTCAGGACCCCAGGGCGGCGCCAGCAGTCATCGCGGTCTCCTTCCCAAGGCTCACCTGTACACAGGCCCCTTCCCATCTCTGATTCCACGAGGGGGAGATGTCCCCTGTTCATGACACCTCCTTGTATGCTACCCTCAGAATGCCTCGCCTCAGGCGCTGGGGCCATGGCCAGCACGTTAAGCCTCCCAATTCTGGTGTGAGTCTTGGATGCTCAGCTTCAGATCTAGCTCCCTGCTAACAGTCTGGGAAAGGAATGGAGGATGGCACAATATCTGGGCTTCTGCATCTGGAGACCTGGAGAAGAAAGATCCTGGCTTCCACAAGCCCAGCTCCAAGCCTTGGCGGTCATGTGGGTAGTGAGCCAGTGAGCCAGCCTTCACTCTCTAAAACTGCCTTTCCAATAAAAATAAATAAATCTTTTAAGAAGTGCCCTGCCTAGTATGCCAGTTCTCTCCTCTCTATTTGAGGTCTACCTGCCTTGTCAGGTCCAGTTTTAGTTTCCCACCTGTAGGAAGATCATTCAGCCCACTGCAGGCTCTGGAGCATGCTGGCTACCATTGATCCCATGTGACTTAACACTGTACAATTCCACTATCTTATTATAGATGCTTTATGTAGAACATTCTACATAATAGGTATTGTGTCCAAGCTACAGACAAGCAGAGCGGGAGATGTTAAAGAACTGCCTGAGATCACATAGATAACAAGATTCTTGGTCCCCAGCCTCCTTTTCAACCCTTATTCTGTCCCCTTTCCCTTCCTCTTCAAACTATAGCTGGTCTGTCTATCTATCTATCTATCTATCTATCTATCTATCTATCTATCTATCTATCTATCTATCTATCATCTACCTTTTGTTTCTTCAAAGACAAGCCATAAGAGTGAATCTCAACCTACTGCTGGAACTTTGCACAGGCTTTTACTGGGAATGCCTCCCTAAACCTATGCACAGCTAGTTCTTCTTTTCCATTGCTTGTTACCTGGCCCACGGTGTCTGAAAAGTCCTTCCCCTCCAGCTATTCTTGAGGGTCATGCCTTATTCTATGTTATTTAGTGCATTTAGGATTTCTGGTATTTTCTTACTTTCTGTTTGCTTGTTTGGTTACTCAACACTATTGCCATCCAAGTTCTTGTGTGTGCTGCTCATAGTTGAATCCCTGGAGAACAATGCCTACTCTTTACTGAGTACTCCAGAAATATTTATTGAATGAATAAATTACTCCAATGTTCATGTTCTTAACCTCTAATCTACTTGACCTCTCCCTAAATTACAGTTCTTAGAGCAATCACAACTTATACCATATAACTTAGCTATTATGCAGTTACGGTTTTATGTCCTATGCTATTTGCTGTTATTTCATTCACGTTCTGATTCAAGCCATGTGTGGGTGCCTGCTGAGTCACTGACCCACACGCACTGGTGTTGGCTTTGCAGCTGCAGCGGGAGGACCATGGGCATCTGCACCTGCTGCTTCGCCCAGTGGAGGTCACATCACATGATATCTCCACTGCCTGTTGGGTGAACAGACACTTCTGGGAATCCGAGTGAGGTGAGAGATGTCCTAGGTACTTCATTTAATTATTTTTCCTACTTTGTTGAACCCTGTTCAAGAAATCTAAAAAAAAAAAAAAAAAAAAAAAAGAGAGAGAGAAAGAGAGAGAAAAGAAATCTCTGAAGTCTAGAATCAACATTTTTAGGTTTTTCTAAAACCTGTTTTGTGGCCTGCTGGTATTGTTTTAGAGGTCTGAGGCTCAGAACCCGCTCAGAAATGGAAATTATCAGAAGCCACAAAGTGTCACAAGATGAATGGATGCCTTCCTGAGATGACTTTACACCTGCTAAACTGAAGAACAAAAATCTACTTAAATTGGAAGCGTTATGGAAAGAATGCAGTATTGGTTAGCCATACTTTGCTTTCATACTTTGCGTCTGAAACACATTTTCTTGAAAACTTAAGGAGTTCCTTGGAAGTGATCTCCAAAAAGAGGAAGAATTCCTTGGATATGTATTAAGTCACGTATAAAGAAGGCAAGGAGGACCATCATGAAACAGAAACACACCCTAATAGACACACATAGGAAATAGCCAGGAATCCCAAACATATTTGTTTCCAAAGATTTTGAAATTCATACGCATTTGTTTTGATATATTATTCCTACTTCATTTCATAAAAAATTTTGAATTTCTGGCAGAAAACAATTTGGTGAAACAACAAAAGCAAAAACTGAAGTAAAAGAAAAAGATAATAAAAACGCCACCTTAAATCCTAGGTCCATTTCACCTTAAGTTATAGACATAAATTGGTGAGAAATTTGCCTTTTTTCTTGTCACTAACACCAAAACATTCATTCAGTTTCAGCACATGAGTGTATAACAACTAAATATTCTATCACTGATAATAAGTTAAACTAGCATGTACAATTAGTTTAATGACATCTGAAGACAAATAATATTTTTAATCTTTAGTCAGTATTCCTTTTATTCCTCCATTTGTAATAGTCACAGGCAAAACACCTTGTATTAAGGATTCTTTACCTAAGTAAGACATAGACTAATACATGGAGCATATTTCCTTTTTTGTTAATCATGAGTAACAATAAGTAGGAAGTCCAGGCAAAAGGTAAAGAATTGAAAGTTATTAAAACACTTACGTGTCATCAATAAATGTTATTCCAAAATATTCCTTTTCTTTCAGGTTGAAGTGTGAAGCCACAAGATCCAGCAACTCTCGTGATAAAAGTTTGGGCTGCCAAAAATAAAAATCTGATTAGAAGCAATGTGGTTGCTCCCTTTTGTCTGACCCTTTCTTACTGCTACTTCCTTTGTCTTCCACAAAGAGGTTGAAACAGCTTTTGTTTGAATTTAAGTATCTGCTACCCACTCTTCATTAGGCTGATCTAGTATAGACTATTCCTTAAGCGTTATGGCAAGGAGAAGAGATGGAAGTATCAATGAGATATTTTCCCTTTTCACATATTTATGACTCAGCTGAGTATGTTATTCACTCATGAAGGTTTTTTTTTCCCCTCTTTTTATTTACACGGGACCACTCCACAGTATTTCTTAGCTTTCCTAGTTCACTAAACTATACAGCCCATTCTGCTCTGATAATGAGCATCGTTGCCTGTAATTGGCTGCACATAAGCTCTGACCCTCCACCTCCAATGAGGGCCTCGGCTTCCAGTCCTGAATTTTTAATTTAATTTAATGTAATTTAATTTTTATTGGAAAATCAGGTCAGAGTTACAGAGAGGATAGACAGAGAAAGATCCTTCATTTGCTGGTTCCTTCCCCAAATGGCCACAGTGGCTTGGAGTTGGGCCTATCTGAAGCCAAAAATCAGGATCCAGGAGCTTCCTCCAGATCTCCCACACATGTGCAGGGTCCCAAGGTGTTGCGCCATCCTCTACTGCTTTCCCAGGCCACAAGCCGGATGCTCAATGAGAAGTGGATCAGCTATAACATGAACAAGCACCCATATGGGATCCTGGAGCTTGCAAGGTGAGGATTTAGCCATTGAGCCATGCCACGGGGCCTTCCTGGATTTTTTTTAAAGCATCAACAAATTTATTTACCTTCTAAGGTGCTTACTAATAATATTAGGGATCTTCAAAAAACTCAAGAAAAATGTTTTACATTTTGAAAATTTACACCAATATTTTAACTCTATTTTCCATAACTGTATTTTTTGGAAAGGTGGTAAGAAAGACAGAGAGCTCTCATCTGCTAGTTCACTTTTCAGTGGCACATCTGACCAGGGTCTCCCATTATGAGTAGCAGGAATCCAATTACTTGAGTCATCATGCTGCCTTGCCTCTCAGGGTCTGCATAGCAGGAAGTTAGAGTCAGCAGCCAGAGACAGACTCGAACCCAGGCACTCCAATGTAGGACAAGGAAGGCTTAACTATTGTTCCTCTATGAACTTTATGAAATATCCTTATAGGTTAGTATTTTGGAAGAAATGCTATTTCATGTACAGCATGGTGTTAGTGACCAACAAAGATTATGAAATGCCTTGTGGCCCTTGTTATATCTGATGTTACAAAAAGCTGCTGAAGTAACTTAGTGTAGTGGTGGCCAGTTGAGGAGGTAGAGGACATAAGGCTGTATAGTTAAGAAAGAATTAACAAGCGATAATCATAATAATCATAAGATCACTGAATCCTTACAGGAACTGTATGACGCAGGACTTTTAAGTTCCCTTTTACAGACAAGCCAACCGAGGCCATGAGAGATGGAGCATCTTGTTTGATAAAACACTTGTAGTAAGGGCAAGGATTTGAACCTAGTTCTGTCACAAACCAAACCCCAGCATTTTATTCCTCAAAGCGGAGTAACTGTATATATTCTACTGAACATCACCATCATAAATTAAACTCCCAAGTAAAAGAAGTGTCTAGGAGCTTCTGGGAAGCACTGCTTGAGGGGGAAGCAGCATGGTTTCAGCTTCAGCCAGAAGGTTCAGAATGACAGCTAACATTGGCTTTGTATCACAGGAATGGGAAGGGCAGGAGGATTACAGGCCGATATGTTAGAAGGTTTGCTTTTGAACCTCAAACAGATTAAGATCCATTATGATGGGCTGAGGGTTGGATCTTAACTGCTGGGGTAGACGAAAAAAAATAAACATAAAGACATAGAAAAAGAAAAGAAGCAGACAGACATCTAGACCAAAAGGGCTACTCTAGTGAAACTACTGTTGACGGTACTATTTTCACTCTAATTGATGTCTAAGCATAGTGACTGGGGACAAGCCTCAGAAGGGAGAAGAATTTAGGTTCTGGTCTATGGAGAATGCTAGTTTAGCCATAGGTGTGGTCTGTCTGTGGGGACTTCCATAGTTAAGACTATTGGTCCAGGGTGTTGTGTGAATGGAAGAGTAGTCTTGAAAACGGAAATAAAAACACTCATACCGTGCCATGGATTTCACAAGGACATTTCAGTCACATATGCTCTCAAGCTTGACTTTACTGGAATTCTGTGAGAAATGCTACGTGGCAGATCACAGTGCGTGAAGCTGGATGTTTCACTTGCACAAAGTCATTGAACTGGGAAGTGGCAGGATGCAGCTTCTCACCTCACCGTGGCCTTTACAGGGAAGTGTTATGGTCCACAGTTTGCCCTCCAGAAGACCACAGAACCAGAGCCCGATGCCTGGGGTCACAGCTGAGATGGGAGCTCAGGAGTTCGAATTCAAGTCACCAGCCTATACGACTTCCATACAGAACAAGTGCCCTGACCTTGAAGTGATCTTTTCTCATTGGCATTGAGACACAGAGGAGTGAGTGGTAGGAATACTAACCAGGAGGCACAGGCGGGGAGCCGGAGGAGGGGTGGGGAGGTTGTCTCAGGTGGGCACCACCTACCTGCACCAGAAGCTCCAGTCTCCTGTCATCCAGGAGGTGCACCTGGCAGTGCCTGCCTTCCGTCATCTGTGGGGACAAAGACAGCAAGCGTGATGTTAGGGCACGGGCTGGCCTTTGAACTCACTCTATCCCTTAGGTTACATGGAATACACTTGGCCTCAAAGTGGCTTCATTCACGAGTTCATCAACAGATTTATGGCAGGGCACTAACTTGCACTTAAAAAGAGAAGAAAAGAAGGAAAACCAAAAGCCATTCAATATAAAGCAAATTTAAACAGTGTGTGAAATTAATCAGGAAAAGTAATCTCCTTCTCAGAGGAAATGACCATGATTTTCCACAAATCAATAATTTACTTTTCAAAGAAAAGTTCCTTCATTCCTGAATGTATTTTGATGAATACAATCTATGCATTCTTTTACAAGAATAAAACAGATGACAATAGAGGTAAAGTGGAAAGACTCATCTTTGAAACTTTTAACCACTTTTTAGCTAGTACTCCTTCACTGAAAATGCATAGTCAAGTTCAGGTTAGCACATACATTTCTAGTTGATTTTAACTTTTTATCACTTAAAGTCACAACATTGGGAACTAATTTTAAAAAAATATTTATTTTTATTGGAGAGGCAGATTTAGAGCGAGGAGAGACACAGAGGGAAAGATTTTTCATTTGCTGGTTTACTCCCTGGTGGTTGCAAGAGCCAGAGCAGAGCAATTTGAAGGCAGGAGCCAGGAGCCTCCTCTGGTCTCCCACGTGATTTCAGGATTCCAAGGATTTAAGTCATCCTCTATGTCATTCCCATGCCATAAGTAGGAGCTGGAATGGAAGTGGAGCAACCAGGTCACAAATCAGTGTCTATACGGGATGCTGGTGCCTGAAGGTGGAGGATTAAGCCTGTTAAACCACAACACCAGCACCAGGAAATAATCTTTTGAATATTTAAATAACACACAGAATGCAAATATTTCTCTTAATTAACTCCTTCTGCAAACCAGTTTACCTATGGAAATTACCACCCTGTCAGTTTGAAGAAAATCCCTGCGGACCACTTTTATAACTATTTTCAGACACACACATGTATATATTTAAAAAAATTATTTTCAAAATCAACATTTTCATATTAAATTGCATGTACTGCTTTGTAAATGAAACATTTTGAAGTATATCTGCATATACATATATGAGTATGTATAGGGATATATTTCAAGTGAGTCTTACATGCACTGTTTTGCTTATTTCTTTTTTAAAAATTATGACTAAATTTCATTTATTTGAAATACAGAGAGAGCGCGCTAAAGAAAAAGAGAGATCTCCCATAATCTGAGTCAATAGCAAATGGCTGTAATAGCTAGAGCTGCACCCGGCTGAAGGCAAGAGCTTCATTCTGGGTTTCCCAAATGGGTTGCTGGGAACCAGTTGCTTAAACCATCACCTGCACCTTTCAGGTCTGAGAGCTGCAGTTAGCATCTGGAGCATCCCACTTGTGCTTCAACCACCAGGCCAAGTGCTTGTCATTCATTGTCTCCTGTTTGTTTTTGTTGTTGTTGTTGTTTTTTAATTCAGCATTTCTTGGAGATCTTCGCAATGTCAACACACTAAGATTTCTTTGTTTGGAAATATTCTATATCACAATAACAATCAGATAACCAGTTAGTCTCCCATCCGGAAACTCTGAGGCTATGTCTAGTCTTTCTGAGCAATATCATCAGGGACTTTACACATTCAGCATTGTTCACTCATGTGGTATTTTTGGGTCTCATTTGAAAAGCATGGGCAGTATCTCTCAGCTGTTTTATGACTTGAGACCCGAATTTTCAGACACACATAACCTCAACTTAAGAAATTAGCCTTCATTACTGACCACCAAGTGTAGGCTCAGAATTGTACTATGTATTTTAAAATTTCATTTTATTATCTCTAAGCTGCACAGTTACCTTTTAAATATGCTTGTGAAGAAAATACACTTTATAAAGCACCAGGTAACAGGTCTGAGAAGTGAACTAAATTGCACAGGAAGGCTAAGCCAGGCACACTCCCGTTCGATTGGCTCTATTACCTTGTAGAAATTATATAACCCTTCTGCACCTCATTTAAAAAAATGCCCTAACAGCTTTTGATCTGATACCTGACATTGAGGTCCACAAATAGGACAGTTCCTATTTGCTTGGAAACTGGCTGGCAACTAAGCTCTTCTGTAATTTGAACATTCTCACATTTAAAATAAACAGTTTCCATGGGAGAAATACCAATTAGCCTATTTTAAAGAAGATGAATGATAGGTAAAGTTAAGGAGTCAATAGACAAGCACGTGACAGAAAAATCCTAAAAAACAAAAAAGGGTCACTGGTGCCTCCTGTGAACCTGGCACACAGGTAGGCTTTCAAATAACATGAATCAGCCTATTTCCGAGCACATTCTATATTCCAGCTACGACACTCAGCACTTTCCAGTTACAACCTTGCGAAGCTCACATAAGATACATGCTCTCACTGTTCCGATCTTACAGTTGAAGCCAAGAGCCAAGAGGTTACTAAATTTCATGGCCTGCAGAATCAGACCCAGACCCAAGTTCTTAACCATACCACAATACGCATGGTGAAAAGTTATGTGAAAATCCAAAACACCCGGTTCATTTTTAATGGATTAGATGACTGGATGAGAAAGAGAAAAATATATCAGGAAACAGCATGAAAATTCCCTTCACTGCAATTCTTGGGTGGTGGGGTGGTGGTGGTGAGTTTGGAAAGGGGAGGATTAGCTGGAATTTAGAAAAAGAAAGAATCCTAGGCTTATTTCAGACACAAGAAAACTAATGAACCGACATCCCAAAGGCACAGACCTTTAGGATGCCAGATTTACGATTGTTGTCCTGAATGTAAATGACATCTACAAAGTCAAGCAGGGAATAAACATCATCTGCTTCAAATGAACTGCTTTTTCAATAGGCCAATTTCTTTAAAAATCGAAAAGCAAAACTGAACCAAACAACGTTGTAACAGGAGGGGGAGAATAATCAAAGTGGCCTTTCTGAGATGCTCCATCTTCCCTAGTGCTTTCCCTTCTCATTTTAACTACAGGTGTCGTATCTCAAAGGAGCTATCCACACAGCACAATGCGACTCTAAATACAGAATAACGTTTGCACCCAGCAGATATCAAAGAAATAGAAGGGGGCCTTAGAAGGTTCATGGGAAATGCCCCTCAGCTTTTAATTTCAGTTTTCAGTGAACATCTTTGATGCCCCTCAGAACTGACCACCAGCCTGCAGCCGCTGAGAGCAGCAATGCCTCCCATGAAATAATGTTATCTTTAAAATATTCTCTTTGGAAAGCCTCTCACAACCTCCACTGAGACGTGATGCATCTGCAGTTACCTCCTCCCCACTCAAGCCCAAGAATTTGGAGGTGACAGGTGTGTGTGTGTGTGTAAGATAAAGGCTCCCACCTCAGTCTGTGGCTGCCCTGTGCTTGCTCCTCACCGCAGGTCCTCAGAGCACAGCTGCTGATGGCTGTGGGAAGTCTGTCCCTCTTTGTCCCTGGTCAGATGGTCAAAGGAGGAAGACCAGCAGGGAAGTGAGAACCGGCTACAAGCCAGCCCTCCAGCGGGGCAGCCCTTCGTGGGGTTCAAATGTGTATGAGGCTGCACGCCTGGCCCTGACTTAGGAGATGAGTGACATGAGTGGGTTTGTGGGCCGGGCGTCGTGGCCTAGCAGTTAAAGGACTCACTTTGCAGTTACCAGGATCCCATATGGGTGCCGGTTCTAATCCCGGCAGCCCCGCTTCCCATCCAGCTCCCTGCTTGTGTCTTGGGAAAGCAGTGGAGGACGGTCCAAAGTCTTGGAACCCTGCACCCACGTGAGAGACCTAGAAGAAGCTCCTGACTCCTGGCTTCGGATTGGCTCAGCTCTGGCTGTTGTGCTTACTTGGAAAGTGAATTAGTGGATGGAAGATCTTCCTCTCTGTCTCTCCTCTCTGTATATCTGACTTTCCAATAAAAATAAATAAATCTTAAAAAAAAAAAAAAAGAGTGGGTTTGTAAGAAACTGGAAAGCAATGCCAGATAGGCCCGTGTGGAAAAACAAAGGATACCCAGGGCCGGCCTGAGAGGCAACAGGAAATAAACACAGGAGCAGCAACCAGAAGTTCAGGCCGTTTGGATTCTGCTTTGCTTGTTTTTTGGAACACAGAAGTAGGAAAGCGTGGTCAGGAAGCAGTTAGTCTTGTTTTTGCTGTCTCTCTGTCCCCTTCCCTTTTGGACTTTACTGAAAGCTTTGCATGAGAAAGCCTCCTTCACAGATATGGTGACTTCTGTCCTTTCATGAAGACCCACCCAGAATCCATGCAGCCACGTGGATGTGTGCAAGACCAGCGCTCACACCCAGTTCCACACTCTCCATGGTGCCCTGCAACGGGAGCCAGGCCTTCCACATAGCTGCTGAATCTCTTCCAGGCTTTCCTGAGCAATTGTCTCCTGGCTTCTCACGCCACCCAGTGGAGGATCTATCACCTTACCTTCGCTAACCTTGTCCAGGTGATCCAACACCTCACCTCTATTTCTATACCATTTGCCTTGGCCCTAACACAGCAGCCACGCTGGCCTTCCTTTCTCACTCAACGTAAGACCTTCTTCCTTTCTTCCTGGCTGCAGCTTGCATACACCGTCTCCTCTGCCCAGAATCCTGCTCCCAGGTCCTCGCACGACTGGGTTGATTTTACCTCTTTCAGATCTTACATCACACAAGGGCATTTCAGGGACATCTTTCTTGTCTTCAGTCTAAGGAGCAGCCTGGGTTCTCTCTACCACGTCATGCTGCTTTATTTTCCTTGACAGCTATTATTTCTTATTTATTTGTTTGCTTACCTTTCTCTGTCTTTTACAGTTAATATGAGGGTTCCTGAGGGAAGTTGGCCTTGACTGCTTTGTTCCCTACTATATATCTCCATGGCCCAATACAGGGTGTGATACATGGTAAGCAAAGGGTCTGTCCGGATTTGCAAGCTAAGGACCTCCTGCTCAGAATCAAGAGCTGTTAAGCTGAGGCACAGTCACAGGTGGTTTCAGTTGACA